GCTTCTTGTTACTACTAGTAAGGCACCTGTTACTACTAGCGTGGCACCTGTTACTAGTAGCTTCTAGTTAGGAGGTGTGGATCCTCTCATTCCGAGGTCTCCCCTCGTGTGGATCCTCCCTATATGGCTTCCACACGGAGCAGTTCTCAGCGGCTGGTGACGCGATCCCCGGGAGCGTCGCTTCGCGCCGTGGGTCGCTCTGCCTCGCTGCAGAGCTTCACCCCGCGGCCCAAGCACGGCTCGGGACGTCGCGCGTCGGAGGTCTTGGTTTTGCACTTGGAGGAGGAGACGACGTTTGTTTGGGGCTCATCTCATCTACGCAGATGGGCACGGAGTTTCTCTTTGCAAGAATCCGCGAAGTCCTTATGTGTGTTCCTGAAACAGCATCCAGTTCTAAAGACGGTTGCGTGCTTGTCTTCGGTGCTCTTTCAAGTCCCATTCTAATCATGCTCAGGTAGCCAGGCTTCTTTCACGATACGTTGTTCAACTAACTATCTGCTACTTTGAGTCTCAACCTTGACGTGTATCCTGTTCAAGATGGAGCATTCAGAATGGCTGTTGGTTGGTCTAGAATACAAAGATGTGAGAAGCCCTGGAGGAGGCTACCTGGCGAACCGCAAGCACTGGAACCTGAGCCTTTTAGATGGGAAAGCGGTTTCAAATCGGTGAGCCTGATTGCAACAGTTCTTTGGGCACGAAGGTTTGTTGAACATTTGCCTTTGGGGCTTGTTGCACACTTTGTCTTTGCGTGCATTTGTTTTGTCCCTGGTGGAACTGTCAAGTTTGGGGGGGGGGTCGAAACGACATCGACTCTTCGAAAAAGGCGTCGCAAAAGTTTAGGAAAGCTCGTTTCTTCCAAGAATGGGTTGGTTCTTTATCTTCCAAAAGCGGTTTGGTTAAAACTTAACAAGAAAGACTAAGACTAAGTATTTGCTTGGGGCAACTCCTGCAACCCTTCTGTGAATCGACCGCCCTGCCACTCATTGAATCTGAAGTTCCAATTCACTTTGCCTGTGTCAAATTGGCCTACACAAGTGGCGTCGCAAGCCTGGAAAACCATGATAAACAAAAGCCAAAATCACTGCTGCAAGGTAGCAAGTTTCATGACGTGAGTGACTAGTAGGGCGTCAGTCAAGAAAAAGGACTGCTACCCGGCGCGATTGCGTGAAGCGGTCATCTCGGTACTTCGACAGACTCCTGTCTAGGAAGCGCTCATTCCTGGAGTTTCTTAGAGTTTTTTCTCCGTTTGGCACGATCTCCACGCAGAAGCTGAGACTGGAAGTTGCCCAAGTCTTCAAGCACGAGGTCCTGAAAATATTTTGCTGGAAAGCGCGCACGCCAAAATGATGCGATGTAGATGCGGAAAGAATGCGACGGAAGTTGCACGGGCTAAAGAAGCGATTTTGACTGTGAGAAACTCACCGAATTTTCGCCGCGCAGTTTCTTCGCGAAAAAACTGCGGTCTTCGCATGCCCAACGCGTTTTCATCAACGAAGCACATGTTCAATGCGACTCCTGCTTCGGGAGTTGCAGGCCTCGGGATTCAAAAGACGCATATCAAAGCTACCAAGTCTTGCTGAGATTCGAACCCCGATTCTTTAAATGTAGCTGCCAACAGCCTGTGCCTCCCTGCGTCTTCCCAATGAACCCTGTCAGGTAGTTTTACGTGCATTTTGCAGAACAGAACGAGCAAGGAGCTGCTGCATCCAGCACAGGTCCTTGGACTGAGGAACAAGAGCTCCCAATACATCCAATGCATTTATGGATGGTTCATTTGTGTCAAAAGCTGGATACGGGATATGTCGAACCCACTTTCGTTGAACTGAACCGAGACCGTTTCCACTCGCAACGCCATGGTCAACAAAGAGGCTTCGAAGCCGGAATGGTCCTATGCCTTGAGAAACGAAAACCGGTTAAAGGAAATAGGAGTCGAACTTACATACGCCTGTAAGTTACTTGTAACTGCAGTTGGAATTTAGCGGATCTTTTCGCACGTGTTTTGCGATTTCATCAAGTGTCACCATGGTGTCCAAGCAACTAGGAGCAAGGACGCTACTGGGGGCTCCTGGCATCGCTACTAGGAGCATTCTTGCTACTAGGAACAAGAAGCTACTAGCTTCCTACCCCCCACCCCGCGCGAAAAGGTCCTAGTAGATTCCTTTGCTAGTAATTACAATTCCAATTAAGTTCTTATTAATTGTAATAGCTTTTTGTTACTACTAGTAAGGCACTTGTTACTAGTAGCGTGGCACTTGTTACTAGTAGCTTTTTGTTACTACTAGTAAGGCACCTGTTACTACTAGCGTGGCACTTGTTACTAGTAACAAGAAGCTACTTTCTTCGTCCGAGGAGTGGAGTCCAAGGGCAGCCATCGACCCGGCGCCACGCCTGTTTTGGAGGAGTTGCAGACGGTGCAGAAACGACTCTTCGAGCGTTTCGCCAAGTTGGACGAAGGTCACTCGGTTGTTCCTAGTAGCGATGCCAGGAGCCCCTAGTAGCATCCTTGCTCCTAGTAGCGATGCCCTTTGCTCCTAGTAGCTTCTTGTTCCTTCTCACACTATATTACCCCTTTTCGTCCTTTTTCCCCAGATAGCTGCAAGCTATAGGCTTTCACTTCTCAATGGTGTGGCTTTGGATCGGCGTTTCGTTTTGCCCGTGCTGGTCCTGGTGCTGGATCAGCGGTTTTCTGGGGGCGTGCTGGTGCGGGTGCTGGTCCCTGACATGATGTCATCCCTGGCAAGGTGAACAATGCCGGTGACACTGCTTGTTGACAACGAAAGCTGTTAGACATTGGGATTTGTTTGCCCTCAGGTACTATGAGCAAGAAGCTACTAGGGACTCCTGGCCTTACTACTAGGAGCATTCTTGCTACTAGGAGCAAAGGGCATCGCTACTAGGAGCCAGAAGCTACTATGAGCTTATCTGGGGTCTATACACGGTGTATTTTCCTTTGTTTCTAGGAACAATTAAGCTACTAGGAACAAGTGCATCGCTTCTAGTAACAAGTGCCTTACTAGTAGTAACAAGAAGCTACTAGTTGGATCCTCTAAGGTATTATAGAATTTAATTCTAATTCTAATTTCTACCCTCGTCGTCCGCTCGTTGCGACCGAGGTCTCCGAGCCAAGGATGTCCAACTTGAGAAGCTTTCGCAGCGTCTCCTCGCCGCTGAAAGCTTGGCTGCGGAGCGACTGCAGCAGGCGCGCGATGCCCAGGAGGAGGTGCAGGTGCTCAAACGAGCCCTAGCGGCCAAAGCCCAGGAGCAAGGGCGGAAACTGGTTTTCGTGAAAGCAACTGGTTTTCGTGAAAGCATTTAGATATGTATGTTTTTGGTATATATACCCCCAGATAGCTGCAAGCTATAAGGGTTCTTACTTCTCACTGGTGTCGCTGTGGATCGGCGTTTCGCTGCTGCTGCTGCTGCCGCCGCCGCCTTGTCTCTCAGGCTTGTTCCCCAGATAGCGATAGCTATAGGGGCTCTTACTTCTATGACTGGGTGCCCTGATTCCGTTTTGACTTTGCCACTGATGTGTGCAGCTGCTGTGCCACTGCTGTGGCGCTGCTGACTTGTCTCTCCACTTGTCTCCTTACATGTCTACCCACTTATCCCCGTTTATGGTGCTTAGGCCTTGTGGCAATTGAAAATGCATACCTTCGCTAAAGCATCCATGGTCCAATAAATTCATCCACAAACAACTACCCTTTTTCTGGTGAAATCCAACACCGGTTACGGTCGAACACACGGAGTGTCTCGGTGCCTCCGGCAGAGGAGCTGGAACGCCTCAAAGGAAGAGAACACGCGTCAGACCGGTGAAAAAAACAGATGGGAAGATGGAAGCTCTGATGGAGTTGGGTGTTGCGGGACACACAATGATGCACTTTTAAAGGTGCCCTGACCACTCACCGACCGCCGACTGCGGGGCATGTGAAAGGAGACCCAGGACATGCTTGTCCCTACGATTGTGTAGCCGCAGTTCTCTTGCCAATGACCGGCACTCTTAAAGACATTTGCGTTTTTGGGGTTTGCACACCACCCCAAAAGATGCCAGGGAAGCTCCAAAGGGTGCGAGGAATCATGGTGGGACAAAGTCTCTCTCTGTGCACGAACATAAAAACCAACAACACTGTTTGGAAAACGATGGATTGGAACAGACGGGGCTAACGGGCATCTAGGAAACACGTTTTAGCCGGCAAGTGGATGCAGCACTTGCGAAACTTTGTTTCTAACAGCAAGCATTGTTCCTAGTAGTATGGCCAGGAGCCCCTAGTAGCTTCTTGTTTCTAGTAGCGATGCCAGGAGCCCCTAGTAGCGTCCATGTTTTATGGCGGGTTTTTGACGTGCATGGGACGGGGATGTTGAGTACGGCACTGCTGGCAGAGAAGCACGCGAGCCCTTAGGTCCAAAATTCACCTTCAAGTCAGGCTGGATGGGTTGCATGAGGAGCTCAGAGCTACTGCCAGGCAGATAAGAAAGTCTGTAGACGTTGCTCTTGTTTGTATCCCCGGGTTTCACCGAATTGGCCAGTGCATGTGTGTCCATTCACACTAGAGAGTGTCTTGAGGCACTTGAAAAGTTTCAGGGTTCGGTTTGTATGATTTTTCATGGCGCTAATTCCTCCCTCAGCCATCTCGGTTCCGCTGGTGGGTGGCCCCTCTCAGCCACGCTGGCGAGTGGGGGTGGCAGCCGGAGCTGCTGCCCTTTGCCTGCAGGCGAGGGTGACAGGAAGATGTTGGACCTTTGAAGACGATTTTGTTGCTAGCGTGGCACTTGTTACTAGTAGCTTCTTGTTACTACTAGTAAGGCACCTGTTACTACTAGCGTGGCACCTGTTCCTAGTAGCTTCTTGTTTGGTAGCTGCTAGCTCTAGATGAAACTCCGATTAGGTCAAAGACAACACTCCTTTGCAACCAGGAACCATGCCGATCGGTGTGATGCTCCGATGGAACGAGGAGAAGGCGAGCTGCGACAGTCTGGATCAGTTCGAAAGTGTCAACGCTAGGCACAATCTCTTAGGATCTCTAGGATCGTGGTTATTTTTCAAGGGAAATATAAGAAAGAAAGAAAGAAGACTAAGAAGGTAAGGGCTGTATTGAAGGGCCCCTTACCTTCTTACCTCCAAGAATAATCTTACCTTCTTACCTTCAAGAATAATCTTACCTTCTTCTTGGAGGGACGAGTTCGCCAACGTGGTTGTCACGGCAAAGCATGTTGACGCAACCCCCATGAAAACGCGGCGTATGGTCACAGAGCCCATACCTTAGCATGCGGAAAGTCAAGAAGCTACGTGAATGGAAACTGTGGATCTATCCAAAACAAAGCGTATGTGTCCGTAAACCTTAGAAGCTACTAATGACACAGGCGTTACAACTAGGGGCATTACAACTACTGTTCTTTTTTCTCTTTGAGGATCTGATCTTCACGAACTCCAACCTGAACCTCAGGGCCCTGAGGAGGGCCCTGAGGATCAAAGCACGTGTCATCCACACGGTGTCAGGGCTTTGGCTTCATCCGTCCAATGGATGGAGAGGGCCCGGATGTGCCTCGGCGCAAGGTAAGAAGTGACGCTACAGGGGGTCCTGGCATCGCTAGGAGCAAAGCCTTTGTATTTTCACTTCAAATGAAGAGAATGAAGATCCTTGAGCATGTTGAACAAAAGACAGTTAAGACATGTCGGAGAGAATCTGTTGAGAGCAGATCAGATCAGCTGCTCGAAAAGATCAGTTTGAACTTGGAAGATTTCTTTGCACATCTTCTCAAGTATCCTTTTCTGAGAGGGGAATGTCCTTGTTTGATCTGGAAGGCATATAAATGGCTCTGCTGTTTCTGTTTCTCCAGAAGTTGAAGCACACTCTCAGACAATGAACTTGTTGGACCCGATGTTTGTTGAGAATGGCATTAGATGAGAGCGACCTATCCCTGTCCATTCTTGACAGCAAAGATAGAAAGTTAACATGATTATGGTCTTCTGTTGTATGCCACCAGTCATGCACCTGAGAGTGAGAACTTGCTAGGGAGTAAACTCCTTCGAGGGTAAACTACGAGGGTGGGACATTGGGGTTCATCCACCAGCAAGGAGCTTCAAGGCGCTATTTGTAGGGGGAGAATACTCCGATGCCTGGCTTCGCCATGGAAAAAATGTGGTCCTTCCGTACATGTTTGGTGAAATACCCCTTTCTTTATGGGTATTTGCTTTCAAGGTTGCACGGTCGTCCAGTTGACGTTCCAAAAAATGAAGACCAAAAGCACAGAAGCATTGAAAGACAAAGCTCCGACGTAGAAGAAGCAACAAGATTCAGAAGATTCTTTTGTTGTTCACAGCCTCCCTGAGTCTGTTTGGAAGTTCTGCTGAACAGCGCCTCCCACAAGCTACTAGTAACAAGTGCATCGCTAGTAGTAACAGGTGCCTTACTAGTAGTAACAAGAAGCTACTAGGGGCTCCTGGCCTTACTACTAGGAACAAGAAGCTACTAGTAACAAGGGGTGCTAAACGCTCGAAGCGTCCCGCCAGCTCTTCTGCCATAAATCCGCCTTGCTGGACGGGGACGGCAGCGTGTGGGATGGTGACGAGGCGACAGTTGCAGCAGTCGGAGCACCCGAAAAGACGAGTCAGAGCCAAATTCGTAGGTAGGAGCGATCGGACGCTACTAGGGGCGCTTCTGGCCTTACTAGAAACAAGAGGACGCTACTAGCAACAAAGGGCATCGCTACGAACGGAGCAAGGACGCTACTAGTTTGTTGATCAGGGCACAGTAGACCAAAACCCGAAAACCGGTCGTGTCTTTGATTGCGCCGCTGGAAGCCCGGCCCGTGTGATCGTCAGTCGCTTTGGTCACAACGACCTGAAATATTCTTCGGATACATGATCCCATGTGGTCAAAAAAGAAACCGTGCTGGACCATGAGTCGGTTTGACCCGTCCACGTAGCCGATCAAATGGTTGTTTTTCGAAACGATAGACTCGAGGGAGATTGGACATCATCATTAGCCATCTACAGAAGTGATCGTCATTTAGACTATTTGTTGCTACACAGGGAGAAACCTCATCAAACAAGTGGAAGCTCTTCAGATCCAATTTGTTCTGTTCTTATGGCTTTCATCTTTCGCCAAAATGCCTTTGAGGGGCTCTCTAATGTTTCAAAGGATGCGCTCGAACTGCATGTTTCCGGTGCTAGACCCTTTGGAGTATGACCAGTTCCGTTCTTGATTAAGCCTTCAGGTGCCAGTCAAATTTGCGTAATTAATTGCCGTATCATTCTTTTTTAATGCATACTGTTTACTGAGTTTGCTGTCGTTCTTTGATTCAGGTAAGAATATCAGTCAGCAAGTCATGGGTGCACACACTGACTTCTGACAGGTGAAATTTGTGATGGAGTATGACGAAAGGAAGGCCAGGAGACAAAGGAAAAACACCTGAGAAGATAAAGCTCATGGAGGTTTCATTGTTGTTCTGGGTGGAAGACTGGCGTACCACCGAGCAAAGTGTTGAGTCAACAAACCTTGAATATTGGCAGGTTTCCTTGAGGCAAGCTCCCTGAGTGCGTGATGTGTTGGGGGGGATGTCCCACAGATGGATACTCTCTGGCTACAGCTAGCTTTGCACATGCAGAAGACTACGTTCTGGTTTCTAATAGCTTCTTGTTACTAGTAGTAAGGCACTTGTTACTGGAAGCGATGCACTTGTTCCTAGTAGCTTCTTGTTCCTAATAGCTTCTTGTTACTACTAGTAAGGCACTTGTTACTACATTTGGGGACCATCCGTACTCCGAATCCAAGAACTCCAGCTACCGAAGTTCCAAGGTAGGAGCGATCGGACGCTACTAGGGGCGCTTCTGGCCTTACTAGAAACAAGAGGACGCTACTAGCAACAAAGGGCATCGCTACGAACGGAGCAAGGACGCTACTAGTTTGTTGATCAGGGCACAGTAGACCAAAACCCGAAAAGGCCTCGCAAATCGCCAGGGCAAGGATCGCGCAATCGAGGTGGGTGGGAGCGGTGGATGTCTTTATTTTGGGCCCGCCGGGACCAAACACACTCCTAACTACTGGACGCTACTACACATGGACGCAGGATAGCTCACGCTTCCTTGAAGAATCGCTCGCTGGAAATCTCTCTCACATAGAGCGCAACAAGCAAGTGCGGTCGCCAACAGACCACCATGTCCAAATGTCAGCGAGGCGGAGGAGGTCTTCAATGGTAGGAGAGATGGTTTGGAAGTACATAATGAGAGCTATGGTGCATGAGGGCGTATCACCCGTCGAGTCATCATAGGACACCCTTTTCGAGACTGAATCGTTGGGGCCTGACCTGGAGAGCCCCACCGAAGGCTGATCACATGATTTCTGACGAATCTACAACCGGTTGAATAGATAATGATTTATGAGGCCTTTATCCCTATTTAATATCTATTTCTTGTTCTAATAGTACGGCCAGGAGCCCCTAGTAGCGTTCTTGTTCCTAGTAGCGAAGCCAGAAGCCCCTAGTAGCGTCTTAGTACCGGTTGAAGAGATCATGAGTTATGAGGCTTTCTTCGCAAAGCGACCATGTGTTACTTCTGATCGCCAAAAGACACACGGAAATGTCAGAATCTCCGCAGCGCATCGTGACAGGTGGAGCGCTACATTCGCAGCAGTCAATCCCCCCCGCCCCAGAGGCCGCCGCCACCAAGTGCACCTTGGGTTGGAAGGGACACTGAGATTAAAACTGGACATTTTTCTTCCCGCTATTAGCTTGGAGGTTGGAGGCCATTGCTATTAAGTTCCCCTTAAACCTAATTAACTGGGTTGTTTTTACATGGCAAGACTTGTCCATTGACGCTGCGATCCGTTTGATTCCAACCCATTCTCTAGGGGTATGGAGCTGCGCCCGTCAATTCAGTTAGAGCATTTTCTCTCGGCGTCCTGTGCCACACTCCTCCTGTGGTCCCAGAATGTAAACCATTCCCGGTAGAGGTTGGAGCCTCACCGGCAACCGCTCTCAAAGCCTGTCAACCAGCCAAGGCCCGAAGAGAAGGTGACTGGGATTGTTTCTTGGCCAAGAAGATGCAAGACACTGGGGGTGACCTACCATCAGAGTTGGCCATCAAGGCATGCTTTGGTATGTGCTTCAATTCCTTGAACCATATTGCGTGGAAAAGGAATCGATGAGTTTATCTTTGGTGTGCATCACTACTTGAATACATCGGGTTGCGGCGTTTTGCTTATTTGGCAGTTATCTACATCTAAAACCAAAGCAAAAGAGCTGATGGATCGGTTAGATGAGTTTTGGACCGGTGGGCTGGATTTCTGAACGCAACCACAAGTCCACAAGTCACCCCGAGCTTGTTGCTTCTTTTTGTCATTTCAGACCTAAGACCCCGCGGATGATTCGGCACATTCTCCAAGCCCATCGGAAGAGTTGTTGGTCCAGAACTGATACAAAAAGCGATGGCCTCCAACCTGTTACAAAATGTTTGCTCACTTGGCGGCCACCAGCTGAGTTTGGTTTTGAGGCCCGAAGTGCAAGTTCATGGTCTTCGCAACAAAATCAGCTGCTGTGCTGCAGGGTATGACAGGGCTGAACATTGTTCACTAGAATCTGCGGCAAATAGGAGCGAGAGGAGCATGCAGAGAGTCTGGAAGAACCAATCAAAAGCGCTTTACGGATCTCCAAAAGGTATTGCATGGACACTCAAAAAGCGGTTGCACTTCTCGAAGCGGCCAAGTCTCGTGGGGACACCTAGGAATGCATGAAATGCGGCACAAGAAGAGAGGATGCGGACAGGATTCGAGAAGAGATGGCCGAAGCATCAAAGAAGGATGGGATTGCGAACCGCTGGAGTACCACTGTTCCTAGTCTTCTCAAAGAAAGAAAGGTAAAAAGGAAAATATAAACTAAAACAGTTGTTCTAATTCTAATTTAAGAAGCTACTAGGAACAAGTGCATCGCTGCTAGTAACAAGTGCCTTACTACTAGTAACAAGAAGTTATTAGAAACATTTGTTCTTCTAATTCTTTCGTGTTTGGCAACAAGAGGAACCGTGTTTGATCCAACGCCTCGCGTCCAGTCACGGCGTCCATGTCGAGGAGTCGAAGGATGGAAAAAAGGATGGAAAGGATGGAAAGGATGCTAAAGAGAAGGACAGAAAGACGTTGCCGTCCGCTTTTTCTTTGTGTGACTTTAAGCAACACTGGAAACTCTTGGAAGCGATTGGACTTCTGCGGCTCCCTATGGGCGAACCGTGCCCGGAACCGTGTGGAATGGCAGGACGCTAAGGATCACAGCCGAGGCCCGACATTTCTGGAACTGAGATGTTCTGCATTTTTGCCCCAAAACATGAAAAGGCCTTGAGAGCATCTAGCTACTAGTAGCAATGCCTTGTTCCTAGTAGTAATGCCAGGAGCTACTAGTAGCTTCTTGTTACTACTAGTAAGGCACCTGTTCCTAGTAGCGTCGCACTTGTTACTAGTAGCTTCTTGTTACTACTAGTAAGGCACCTGTTCCTAGTAGCGTGGCACTTGTTACTAGTAGCTTCTTGTTACTACTAGTAAGGCACCTGTTACTACTAGCGTGGCACTTGTTACTAGTAGCTTCTTGTTACTACTAGTAAGGCACCTGTTACTACTAGCG